CTCTCTACATCATCCTGGTGTGCAGACTCTCATTTTCGCCGACTTCGTCCCTCACCTGCTCTTCACCAAGAAACCCCTTGAGTTTCTTGTCACGACCGTAGTCGGGTGGTCGGTGACATTGGCCTTCATAGTCTGCTGGACAGAGGTCTCTTGTTATCGGAGGCCCTGTCCTGTCTCCCTTACCATCTGAAGCACTCGAGTCCACTGTTACAGTTACGGTGTCAATCCGTCTCACCGAGGGTCCTCTCTTTCTCTCACCCTCCACCTTCGCCAGCACAATGTCGTCTTCCAAGCACTGGCTCCTTCTAACAACACGCCCAAAGTGTGTGAGACTGTTTCACCATCCTGGCCTCTAAAGAGCGCTGCTGCCCTTCTTCCAAGCCAGGCGTGTTTGTTCTCTGGCCATTCCCAGGACGGCCAGTACTCTTCTCCAAGGCCATACGTCAGAGGCACTGATTCCTCTTGGGGCTCCAGTCTTTGCTGTCCAACTCTCACATGCATATAAAGCAGTACCATGGCTGGGCCAGGCTGACCTTAGTCTTTAAGTGGGCATCTTTGCTCATTAGCACTTTCATGAGGTCCTTGGCAGCATATTTGCCTAATTTAGCAACTCTTGATTTCTTGACTCTTTACTACTAAGACCACTTCTCAGTGCCGCTAGCTGTCCATGTGGTTGTGAGCTATTTTGTTTTTTCACACCAAACCTGATCCTGGTCTGTAACATGCTTGCTCTGAAGCCTCTAAGTTAGAGCCTGTTCCCTTAATCACACTGTTGCTCAACAGAAGAAAGAATTAGCATTTAAAAGTACATGTAGGCGGCTACCCTACTAAGAAAAACATATTTCAAACCCAGGCTGCAGGGTAGAGGGCAGACAGGGAAACTTCCCTGTTAAGGCAGGCTCCCTCCTGGGGGACGGGGAGGTGAAAACAGGCCACTTCCTGTGGGATCTGCCCTCACAGCCCCAACACAGTCAGGGCAGGAAGAACCCAGTGCTGCCGGCTCGAGGCAGTGCCCGCCTGCCAACTGCTGGCTGGGTGCCTTGCGGACTTGACCTCTCCTGGTTTCCATTGCAATGGGGAAGTTATAGTGTACAAGCTGGGGCGGGGCAGGGCGCCAATCCCTGGGCCAAGCTGCTCTGGCCTCCCAGACTCCTGGTGGTCCAGGGTGAAGCCCACAGGAGGGCAGGGGGCCCTCAGAGGCATGTGGGCGGCACCATGCTGTAGGCACACTCCGAGCCCACAGGGAAGGGTGTGGAGGTGCTGGCTTGCCCAAGCGGAAAGAGCCTGCAGGGAAAACCATCATTTCTCTGGGCAGGCGGCCAGCATGGGGCCCAGGGGGAATACAGGCACCAGCTCCCCAACCCAAGAAGGCTGCAGAGTGGCCACGTCTGTACACCAAGGAGCAGGGCTGGAGCCGTGGTCCCCCAGGCTCCCCCCTCACACCTGGTCCCCATTTGAGCCCACACTCCAGAGCACAGGCCCCGCCTGTGCAGCATCTGGGAAGGTGCAGACCCATCCTGGCACCTCTCCACTTCCAAGAAGGACACTAACCACGGCCGATCAGGCATCGCCACACCACGTGGGCCCTCAGGAAAGTAATCTCGGGTCACAAGCTCAGCGCTTCATGCCCACACAGATGACTTTAACTCTTTCCGTGACTGAAACTGGAAAACGTTCCTACTCAGAAAGTAGGTCATAACGCACACCCACGTGCCTACCATTCCAAGTACTTTTCCAGCCCGCGTCCCTAACAAGATGGACTGACAGACAGTAACGATGGGCGCAAACACGGCGGACAGCATGCAGAGAGTGCAGGTCGAGCAAGGCTCTGCTGTCACCCTGGCCTAGTCATCTGGATGGCCCCTAACCACAGTGTGACTCATTCTCCCACAAGCCGGCTGGACAGGCGAGAGCGCCCACTGAGCCCATCTCACAGGACCGTAGCGCGAGAACGCAGGGCTGACGTGCTCGGGCTCCTGGCTGCTTAGCAGCCCTTCGGCATCCTGCTCTGCTGTCCTCCACCAGGCTGCCCTGCCCTGACCACTGTCAGCAGCGAACAACCCAGTGATGCCGGGAAAGGAGTCCAGAACACTGGAGCCCTGTGCAGTTCAGGTGAGGGCCGGACTGCAGGGGCAGCGCCCCAGGAAAGCCCTCCCCGAGAGCCAGAGGCCAGCGAGTGACAGAGACGGGCACTCGCACAACAGGCTCCCTCCACCATGAAGATAAACAGGACAGATTTCCCAGGGAAAGTCCTTCAGTTCTGGGGCCAAACCTCGGGGGGCTCCTTGGAGTTTTGAAAATCTCAAAACTCAAGAACCCTGCTTTCGAATCAGAAGTGACTCAGCAGAGCCTGCAGAGGGTCAAAGCTGAGAGGTAAACCGTACGGCAAGGGTGAAGACTGTCCACTTCTCCTGCTGAACCAGTGGGTTCTAACCACCAGGGGCTCGGCCTCCCGACACTCCCCACAGACGGGGCCTCCAGAGCCCTGGCCACTGTTTACCTGCTTAGCTGGACAGGTCAGGGTGGCACAGAACCACAGCTAGTGAACCACCAGGAGGGAGTGCCCGCCCCTCCTCCGTCAGGTTCCCTGTAAAAGATTTACAGCCTCAGAAATACCAAGGGAGGGAGGGTCACCTTGACTAGGAATTAGGTAGATGGCAGTGGATTTTTCTGCCTTTTTTGGAGTTAAGTACAGGTAGTCAGTAATCACAGAGCATGAACCCCCGGGGGACGAGGCAGCAGGCCCCAGATGTGCAGACCCAACTCCGGTGGCCGTGGGACGGTGACAAGCAGTGGATGAACAGAGTCCTCAAGCTTGTGACTTGTGGGGACTGCCCACCTCGCCCCTTCGGCAGTGAGATCTGCTGCCCCTCCTCTCCGTGGTACCTGACACCACTGGACCACTCTCTATGCTAGAAAAGGTCAGAAAAAGGTGAAAAGAGCACTCAAACTGCAGGGATGGAGTCTCAGATTTCCACTTCACTGGTACTCCCCCCCAAAAGCCCTAGGGGTGCAGTGGTCAAGCTCTCGGCTGCTACTTCCAAGAAAACTCTAAAGCAAACCCAATCTACACTGCTGACTCAATTCAGAGTCAACCACCCACAGGGACCCGGGCCTGTAAATCTTCAAGGAGGACAGTGTCTCATCTTCTCCCTGAGAGCTTTGGGGGGCTCAAACCCTCTGTCTTTGGGCTAGCAGCTGAGGACTTAACCCCTGGGCTACAAAGACTGCAGCCTTACAAACCCTGGAAGCTGACCCACAGGGGGTCCTATTTCCCAGGGTTAAACATAAGCGGTCACCTGTTTAAGTGCAGGAGCATCACTCCCTTTCCAAACTCACTCAACCTGGCCGTGCCTTCCAACTCTAGAAAGTGGAGGAAAACCACACTGGCAATGAAATCCAGGATCATAAACATAAGCTCCTTGGATTTACTTATTTATGCTTACCAACACCACACAACTCTGTCCTTGACTCTGACCAAACCCTGGTGTGGTCCTTGGAATCCAGATTTTGAAAATCTCCAAACTCAAGAACTTATTGCCATCAAGCAGGAAATGATTTGACGACTAGTTAAAATCAAGGTGCCCTTGGCCTTCACCCTCCTGGGCTGTGTCATTACTTCATTCCATGCGGTCACCCCTGAAAACAGCCCCACTGATGCCCACTCCAGCCCATCGCAGACCAGCCACTACAGTTACACTCCAAGATTAATTATTTACCGCTGTCTTGAAGTTACACTGGCTGTTCACAACAATACAAACATCTCAAATTAGACAGGAACCAAAGTACATGAGGGTCTGCAAACTATCCACTGGCCCCTGTTTTTAGTCTTCAATTTGATGTGTTTAATGGAAACAGCTAAAGACAGTTACTCTTGGACACACAGGCTTCCAGGCTGGTTGGCAAGACTTGATATAAGACACTGCATGAATAGCCTTACAGTGAAAAACCTAAACTAATGTTGCCACACTTGTACTTTAAATTTCATGTTCGTTTAACAATTTCCACAAGCCCAGGACCCGAGTCTGCCAGGCCGACTGCCCCTGGCTGTTCTCAAGCACACCACTGCACATATTTCCTAACCTCACACCATAGGTTGCTCAACTCCACGGCCTGGGCATCTGCCCACCTGGGAGGAGGCCAGCCCACTCCGGACATTGGGCATCGCTGGCCCTAGAAACGCAGCTAGAGCGTCAGGCCTGACTGGGCTGAGTGCTGTTACTGGGACCGCGATCCCACTGAGTGTGGCCCTGCAGGGAGGGCACCGTGGCACAGGCCCAGGAAGACAGGTTAGAACGGGACAGAGCAGGTGAACCAGGGATGGGGGCAGGGGCTGGGAAGGCTGAGTGTGGGGCCCAGGAAAAGGACTTAGAGATAGACTGGAGAGGGAGACTACTGGGGTAGATGGCCCAGGAAGGGACAGTGTCCGGCGAGGGGCATGCAGGGGAGATGGCCCAGGAAGGGACAGTGTCCGGCGAGGGGCATGCAGGGGAGATGGCCCAGGAAGGGTACAGCTGGAGGGAGGGGCGACGGTCCAGCAGGGGCGATGGAGGAGAGACAGGGTGCTCGCAGGAGACAGGGCAGAGGAGGGGGACAGGCCCAGCTCAAGAGTGGACTGAGACCAGGGCAGGGCGGAGAAGTGGAATACACAAAGGAGATGGTCCAGACCTGCACCTGGGACCTGGGAGGAGAGGCAGGGAAGGGGGCACGGGGGCAGCACAGGGACGCCTGCAGGGGAGACAGACGAGGGGGGCACCCGGGACAAGGTCAGGAGCGGCCCCTCACCACGCCGAGCCCGCGGGCCGTGTCTGCGAGTCCTCCACGCGGGCGAGGGGCCCGAGCGGGTCCGCTCCCACCGATCGCTCCACGGTCCCTGCGCCTGCGGCCCCAGCAGCTCGGGTCTCCCCGGGGTCCCGGCACCTGCGCCCCCAGCTCGGGTCTCTCCTGGGTCCCTGCGCCCCCAGCTCAGGTCTCTCCGGGATCCCGGCACCTGCGGCCCCAGCAGCTCGGGTCTCCCCGGGGTCCCTGTCCCCGGGTGCGCGCGGCCACCCCGGCCAGGCCCGCCTCACCTCATGAGGTAGTCCCGGAAGTCCTTGCTGCGGACGTAGTCGGCCGCCTTCCGCACCAGCGCGCCCGCCATGGCCGTGCCAGTCCCGCCGCCGCTCGGCCCCGGAGACAAGCAGGCAACCGCGGGGCGAGCCGGCCGGGCACGCACGACAGCTGCCACGCCTGACGGCCCGGGGCGCGCGGCCTATGGGAGGGCACGGAGCCTCGGCGGCGGCGCTGATTGGCTCTCGCGTGAGTCACGGCCGGTCCAGGGGGTGGGGCGTGGTGCCGTAAAGTGGGCGGGGCAGGGCGGCTATTGGCTGGCGGTTGCCGGGCCCGCGACGTGGCTGTGACATGGCGTGGGATCGCGCCCGGCGCTGGCTGCTCTGCAAGGGCACCTTGCGAAGCTGCGGTCCTGCGCTCACGTCCCGCCTCCTCCTCGGCCCGCTCTGCCCGGTCCGCGCCGCCCGGGGCCAGCTCCGCGGGCACCAAGCTGCAAGCGGCCGGGCCCGCGTCGGCTCCACTCGGAGGCCACGTCTGCGTGGACACAGCCAAGGCCAGCGCGGTCTCGCACCGAGTCGGCCAGCCCCTCGCCCCTGCCTCTCTGCAGGCCAGGCGGCACGCTCTCCAGGCCCTCCTGGCCCTCGATAACCCACACGGCCCTGGGTAAAGGCTTGACCCTAGTCAGGCTGACAGCACGCACGCACACACACACACACACACACACAGAGACAGACACACAGAGGGGACACACACACACACGACTCGGGAGAACGGCCTGGCGAGCCTGGATGGAAAACTCTTGAGTGCCAGTCCGGCCTGCACACGGGGTCATGTGAGATAGCCACAGTCGGAGTCCACTCGCTGGCCACCACCAAGAAGGACAGCACGAAGGAAGCGTGGCCCACGTGCGGGCTCCTGAGAAGCTGTGCAGGAACCCTGCGGCGCAGAGGGGGCAGGGACGCCGAAAATAGCACAGCTTTACAAGAGCGAAGGGAGTGAGATGGCTGAAAATAAAGCTAAAAGCCCAGCTGCATTCCTGCTTGGAAAAGAGACGGAGCCTGGCAGGGGACGCCCGCCTGTGCCCCAGTGCTGCAGCACGGCCCCATGCTCCAATCAGGAACGCAAGCATCGATCTTTATAAAAACTGAAAACTGGCTAGCAATGCAGGAGATTCAGGCGCTTAAAATGACGTGGGTGAAAGTGTGGAGAGAGAAGCCCCCAGGTGTCTAGCAGAGATACTGTTCTGTGCAGTCAGTGATGTGACTCCTAATTGACCCTGTACACACAGATCTGCACCTTGCCCGATCCTGTGCCACCCTCAGGATCCCTGACATGTCTGAGCCTGTTACAGCCACTGTGCCAATTCATCTAGGTGATGGTCTTCCTCTCTGTCTCACCCAAAGATGCTATGTTGCCTTTTACCTGCGGGACGGAGTACTGAGGTCCTGCTGAAAGAAAAAACCACACAGACAAAAAAGAGAAAGTGAGACACCTGAGACCAGATAAAAAGACAAGGCCCCAGTTTTATTCTCAGCATATACGGAGAATACAAGCGTTCCATTACTTAGAAAAACCAGACATTTTGCTACACAACAATTTACTCAAAGGCCATAAGGTAATAAATCCAACTTATCTCTGGGTCTGCAAAGAAATGTGTCCTTGAGCATCCAGGAACCAGGCCTTTTAATGATCTGCTCAGATAGTAAAAAGGTTATCTCTTTGCTGTAAATTCTCAAAGACAGTAGCTTCTCTAAATCTGTATTTTCTACAAGCTCTCAAGGACTTTAGTTTTCACAGCTGCTCTTCTGGGTCTTATGGGGTCTCATGAAAGCACCCTGTTTTTTTGGGGGGCACATCCGCATGCTTGCCCAGCAAGTTGTTTTCAGCTGACTTCTCACTGAGTGTTGCCACGTGCCTGTCTCCCAAAGACACACAAGTAGATTTACCAATCTTAGGTGTTCTGGGATATCCACCGTGCCATTGTTCATATGGAAGGATTGCAATCCATTTGTATATCTAAGGTTAAGAACTCCCTCTACATGACGGATATGAGATCAACCTGATGTGTGCACATAAACGACAGAGATCAGATGCCAAGTTACTAAAAAATTACTGGAGTTTTGTATTGAAAAGAATATTTAGCTTATGATTTCTTAGGACATTTGTGAAAACAAGTTAAAGTCATTAAGGTTTCTGATTATTTATTTGCACCTGAAGATGGTTTTTACAACTGAAATTAACATTTTCGCTGAACAAAACATTGCTGGTACTGTTATTTGATAAAAGTTGTTTTGTTTTCTGTAAATGGTTCTGGAAAAGGTGTAATGTCTTAAGGATAAAAAGATTTCAAACATAGTTACCTTTTTTAAATTTTTTTTATTATTGTTAATTTTAATGAAAGTTTACAGAGACTGAGGATTTCCATTCATTCACTGTTGCACTTTTCTCCCTGATCCCTTGCCCCCCCCCATTCACTCTTCTCTTTGAAAAGTAAAAGAAAAATTCTTTCATTGTTATACAATCCCTCCCTTCAAGTCCACTCTACTATGCAGCCTTCACTCTGGGCTCCTGTCATGACAATAATACCTAATCACATATCCCTTTTATACAGTTTTCTCCCTCATATGTTTCAATGCAGTGTACATTATTTATCCCATCTTTCTCAGTCTCCCACCAACCCCGATGTCAGTCCTGTTTTACAACAGTGACACTATGCAGTATTTGTCTTTTTGTGACTAAGATATTTCACTCAGCATAATGTCCTCCAGGGTCACCCATTTTGAATAATATTGCATGAGTTCCTTGTTTTTCAATGCAGCATAGTATTCCATTGTGTGAATATACCACAGCGTCTCTATCCATTTGTTTGTTGTTGGGCACTTGGGTTGTTTCCAACTCTTTGCTATTGTGAACAAAGCCGTGATAAACATGAATGTGCATATATCTGCTTGAATGTCAGTTATGGTCTCTTTGGGGCATATTCCCAGTAGTGGAATTGCTGGGTCAAATGGTATCTCTACAATTTTTTGAGAAAGCGTCACACCGCCTTCCACAGTGGTTGCACCATTTTACACTCCCACCAACAGTGAATAAGGGTTCCAGTTTCTCCACAACCTCACCAGCATTTGTTGTTAGCTGTTCTGTTAAATTTTGCTATTTTTACTGGGGTGAGATGATATCTCATAGTTGTTTTGATTTTTAACATTTCTTCATGTGCTTGTTGGCCATCTGAATGTCTTCTTCGGTGAAGTGTCTGTTCATATCCTGTGCCCATTTTTCTATTGGATTGTTTATCTTGTTGTTGTGCATAGTTACCTTTTAAAAATAGTAATTTGACTTTGGCCTATTAAAATATAAATATATAACAAGGATTTTCATTCAGAGGCCGAAACTAGACTAGACTGTAAATTAAACACGTGCAAGGGGTGGGCAGGGAGAAAAGTGCGGCAATGAATGAATGGAAATCCAAAACCTCTGTAAATGTCTATTAAAATTAATAATAATAAAACCACGTGCAATTATTGAACATGTTATCCTATTTACTATTAAAAATATAAGCAATGTGAATTAAGGGAAGCCTTTCTTTTTAATAAAAACTTGCTATTAAAAAAAAAAGATGAAGAGGCGAGGAAAAACCATGCATGTCCCTGCTGCAGACAGACGGCTGTGTACGTTTATGCTGATACCTGAGTGGTGTTGACCTAGGAAGACGGCCTTAGTCAGCTTCACAAGAAGAAGAGGGAGACTGACTCCTCATATCCTCATGTTCCTATTTGGGGATGACCCACAACAAATGGAGTTAAAATGAAGAAATGCCTTTGGAAGGAAGATAGCGAACCGTCCCCAGACTCATTTTGCTAGGATTTATGACCTCTGGATCTCACCTGACCTTGGTCTTCTGTGAAATGTGCCTTAAACAACACCGGCACTCCATAATAGCACCGCACAGCTGACTCCGAGTTACGGCAACATTTGTGTGAGCGGCACTGTGCCATGCAAAGTTTCAGGGGGGATTCTTCAGAAGTGGATTGACAGGCCCTTCTGCCAAGGTGCCTGCAGGTGGACTTGAACCAGGATTTCAGTTAGCATTCACATTAACTGCTTCCACCACGCAAGCACCATGCGCATACTGGCATGCAGGCAGGGCTGACTCCTGAACACCATCGGCCCAGGAGGCTGTCGGTCCTGGACACCATCGGCCCAGGAGGCTGTAGATCTTCATGGAAGGAGACTGCCTCATCGTTCACCTCATGTGTGCCTGGTGGACTTGAACAACTAGCCTCGCAGTAAGCAGTCCAATATGCTGTAATAACACCAACCAAAACACCCAACCCACTGCAGCCAAGTCAATTCTGACTCATAAGGAGCCTTTGTCATTGGCTGCCAGGTGCGGCTGAGTTGAGTACAACACATAGCAACTCTGTGAACAACAGATCCGAACCCTGTCCTGTCCTGTTCCATCCTGTCCCGTCCCGTCCTGTCCTGTCCCGTCCCTTCCGTCTGCCCTATCGCATTCTTATCTTACCATCTCTCTCAAGCTCGAGCCCATTGCTGTGTTGCTGTGCCGATCCAGCTGGTTGAGTGTCTTCCTCTCTTTTGTTGACCCTTCACCTTCCCAAGCATGATGTCTCTTTCCAGGGAACAGCCTCTCCTGGCAACATGCCCAGAGTACAGAGTCCTTTACTCCACGGAGTCCTCTGGCTGCACTTTCCCCAAGACATCTCTGTTTATTCTTTTGTCGTCTGCAGGATATTCAACACTCTTTTCCATCATCACCGTTCAATGACATCAGTTTTTCCAGAACCTCCCTCCCGGTGGGTTTCCCGGCTGTAATCAGTGGCTGCCTCCTCTCACTCATGACGAGTGTGGTGAAACCTGAGGGGAAACTCTTCAGGACAGATGAGGAAGCATAGGGAAGTCCAGGCTTCCCGAGTCCTCTGTACCTGTCAGGGCTGTAAGTGTGAAGATTGTGATTCTGAAGGCAGGCACTGGGGCCTAAGAAGAGAGGCAGGTGGTATCCAGACCTGGAAGCAGTGGTGGAAAGGGGAGGTTGTTCACCGCGGGTGAGTGAGCAGGCACAAGAGAGGTCAA